GGACATTATTTGTACAACTGGAGAAATTTGAGCAGCTCCTGTAGCTCAGTCCTACATCAATGTTAATTTCCTTAATTGTGATAACTGTTTTGTGGTCATGTAAAGAGAATGTCCTAGTTTTTAGGAAATAAACACAATATACAGAGGTAAAGGAACATCATGCTTGAAAGTACTCTCAGTTTAGAAAAAGAGTGTATGCTTGTGGGGGAAAGGGATAAGGCAAATGTGATAAAATGGTAACATTTGGAAAATCTGGGTGAAATGTTTATGGAAATTATCCCATTTTTGCAACTTCTCTATTAAGTCTAAAATTATGTCAAAATAGGCAGTTCCCTGGTGGCCTAGTGGTCAGGATTCTGGGCTTTCACTGTCATGGCCTGGGTTCAATCCCTGGTCGGGGAACTGAGATCCCGCAAGCCGTCACGTGGCCAAAAAAAAAAAAAAAAAAGAAATCTGTGTCAAAATAAATAGCTAAAAGGAAAAAGTTAATGTTTATTAAAAAGTTGCTATTTTCAACAGTTTGCAGTAAGGAGACCATGCAGTAAAAGATTAAGGAGTAATAGCTGCTATCTATTACTCTATAGCCTAGTGGTTGAGATTATGGACTTTGCTATTAGCCAGACCTTAGTTCAAGTCCCAATTCTGCTTATATGACTTTGGGCAAGTTGCTTACCTTCTCTGATCTTCTATTTATCTGTTTTATGGGAATAATGTACAGGATTCTTGTAGGATTCAATGGTATCAAGTGTGTCAAGGGCTTACAGTAAAAGACACCAATTCTGGAGCCAGAATGCTTAGGTTTGAATCCCACTTAGCAATTTGCTAGCTATGTGACCTTGGGGAAATTATTCAACCTCTCTGTGCCTCAGTTCTCTCATCAGTAATAAATGGGGGTGATAAAAGTATCTATCTCAAGGGTTCTTGTGAGGACTAAATAAGTTAATTGATAAAAGTAATTTGAATAGTACCTGGCACAGAGCAAGCACTGCATGCTTGGTAGTTATTTTCACGATTAGCCTGAGCCCCTACAGAATAGGAATTCAAAAAATATTAGCAATCATTATCATCATTAAATACCTAATATTATCATCACTATAGCTTTTTCAAGAGGTTTGGTGGTAAAGAGAAAGAAAATTTATTTTTTCTCTTAAACTAGGAAGACCTAAGCATATTAGAGAGAAAGGGGACAAACAATACAGAAAGAGAAACTTTTCTGGAAACACGAGAGACACGGAATCATTTACCAGATGAAGCCCTGAGGACCTCAGTTTCCCTCTTTGTAAATGTCACATGAAGATTTAAGAGACAACTTTAAAAGGTACTTTGATGAAGGTGTAAGACAGAATGTACATCTTTAAATATAACTTTGAACACACGGACACATTTACATTTCTTCTACAGAATGCATTTTCCTTTAATAGCTATTAGGTTTTAAAATATTTAGCTTCTCTTTTAGATATCCATCCACAATATCCCTCATCCCAAAAAAAGTTCATTTAAAATGGAAATTTTAAGCAAAATCTAGGAAGAAAATATGTACAATAGAGTGGGAAAAGGTTACACATAAGCAAAGATTTTTCTTTTTAATATGGTTTTAAATTTCATTTTTGGACTAGTTATCAACAATATCCATCAGGGAAATGATGCTAGCAGATGTCTATGGACCAATATGAAAAGATGTCTAAATATTAAAAGAGAAAAAAAACAAGTTGCAAAATAGTTTGGAGATATATATTTATATATGTACAGAAAAAGTTAAGATTAATAATGAATGATTTTACTTTAATTGTCATCTTTACAGAGCAACCACTATGTCTCAGACACCAGGGATTAAAGAATAATCAAAATGGAAAAGTAAAATTCAAGGCACAATGGAATTTTCTCATTCCAATACAATCTGCCTAAAAAAGGGACAGACCTAGAGAGCCAATCTTAACTCTATCATTAAACACATCCTGCTTGTCAGTGAAATGAGTATGACTACACTAATTTCACAAAGATTTCTGGACAGTCTAGCTATTTAGAAAGTTGTTATATAAAATCATAATAAATTCATATATTTAAATAATATTACACATTATTGCCCAATCCAAAAAAAAATAGAAAATAACTGTCCAAAAGTGCTTTATCAGTTAAAACACATTCTAATGAATTTATGATTTAAAAAGTGATTCCTTGAGAAACCATTCTTCCTTTCATTTTCTTTTCTTGATTATTCCACAATACCATCTCTCAGGGTAGAAAAGTCCCTAAAATTAACATCTATAGAGAAAAAACCCAAAAATCTAAGCTTTATACCAAAATAGGAAACTTTTTTATAGGAAAATGCAGCTCACTTGAACCTGCTTCTGTTCAGAAGGGACCCTGAGAAAAGACAATATAGAAAAAAGAGGATTCTTTTTTTTTTTTTTTTTTTTTTTTTTTTTGCGGTATGTGGGCCTCTCACTGCTGTGGCCTCTCCCGTTGCAGACCACAGGCTCCGGACGCGCAAGCTCAGCGGTCACGGCTCACGGGCCCAGCCACTCCGCGGCATGTGGGATCTCCCCGGACCGGGACACGAACCCGTGTCCCCTGAATCGGCAGGCAGACTCTCAACCACTGCGCCAAGAGGGAAGCCCAGAAAAAGAGGATTCTTTACCATAATCACTGGAATCTTGATACCCACATGTATTTGTTTCTATTCTGTAATTCCTGGCATATCTACTTTAACCAGAACAGTTATTCTTGAATGACCTTTATTTCTCTGCGATTTCAGGAAAGTTACTTTTCTACCACTAACCACAAACTGCTCCCCAAATGGAGGACCAGTGGATATACAGTAGGTGGTGATACACGGTAGGTGGTGGGGAGAGGAGCAGAACTAAAGCTCAACAGGAACCATCATCACTCGGTCCCCTTGACCTTTCTACAGCTTTCCATTCACCTGTATGAAGAGAGAATAAGGAAAAACAAAACCAATGGAAATAAGGGAGAGCTGAGTAGTGGACACCTACTACACCCCAAGCACTGCAAAATATTATTTCATTTAGTCTTCCTACAGTACTGATGATGACTTTGAAGTCTGGGCTGATGACTTGTAGAAAGAATTTCACCAAGTATGTCCTGGAGCTATGATGAGAACCCAGTGAGTGATTTAAAACCTGTGCTCAATTTTTTTCCCATGCCACTCTTCCTGCCTAGCAACATGACACTACTTATTGTCCAAATACATAATCCTATGGTTTTCCTTTTTAACAAAAAGCACTTTCAATATGGAAATTTTCAAAACTACATCAAAGTAGAGAGATGTACTCCCATGTGCCCATGGCTCAGCTTCACCCGTGTGCCATTCTGGTTTCACCTGCCCTCTTCCTACTATTTTTTCTCTGAAATATTTAAAAACAAATCAGAGACGTTTTGTTTGAACTTCAAAGTGTCTCTAACAAATCAGATACTGAATACACAAAATATAACATTACCACAGAATTTGAGATTCTGCTTTTCTCAAAAAATGTCCTCTCTCAGTCAGTTAGTTTGAATCAAGACCTAAACAAGGTCACAAGGTCCACACACTACTTTTGGAAGATGTTATCTCTAAATGAATGACAGTTCCCTCGACCTCCTCCCCTTTACAAATAAGTGGCATTTTTTTTAAAAAGGAGTCTTTATGATTGATAAAGTGTGTTTCTCTAGCTCCTTTATTTCATGTAAACTGCTAGGGGCGTGATCAGACTGTGGTTCACTTCTTTTATTATTGTTTCAAGACTGCTGAGGTGGTACCATTTACTCCCTACTGCATCTCCTCAGGAGGCACTTAATATGCAACTGCCTTCTATCAGTATAATAGTAATAGTGTTTTCTAGATCCTCAGGCGATTCGAGTTTCTAAAAGCTTATCCAAGACCATATATTCGTGGCAATATGCACGTGGTGATCAAGCACCCAGGTTAATCAAGAGTTGATTGGGAGACAACAGAGGTTATCAATCAGCAGCCAGGGAAGTAGGCCAGGAATTGTTCCTCTCATAGATAAGAGGCCAAAATGTGGAGAAGAGATGAAGGGTTTGACTAGAGACAGAGAGGAGGCCAGAAGATGAACATGATGCTTAAAGAACAAGATAGTGGGCTCCAATTATAGTTCTGAAAGACATTTTACACACCTGTATCAATAAGTCTTTCCAAATAAACTCACAGAGAATTTTAGAGTTCTTTATGTTATAATGTTAATTCACCAAGACAGCCTTACAAATTTTGCTGTTTCCTGCTTCAGAGAAAGGTGCTGATCTCTAAGCCAAAGGTTCTCAACTTGACCTCAAAGTATATTCTCCTGGGAAGCTTTAAAAGTACTGAGGTGTGGGTCCCACCGAATCAATTCTGATTCAACTGCTCTAGAATGGGGACAGGTATATAGTATTATTTAAAAGTCTTCCCAAGTGACTCTAATATGCAGCCATAATTGAGAACCAGCTGCTCTTAGCTAAGAATAAAGACAACAGCAGCTAATATTTACTAAGCATATATTATATGTCAGGTACAGTTCTAAGCACTTTACATGTACTAGTTCATGCCCTATTTTACAAGTGAGGAAACAGAGATAGGTAACTTGCCCGAGGTCACACAGCAAGCTAACAGCAGAAGTATTTAATATCAAGAAGTTTGGATCCAAAACCCATGCTCTTAATTACCATGATATACTGACTCCTAAGCATGAATTATACTTACATTCTTTAACTGCAAGTAAAATGGTCAAAGAAAAACAAAATGAACAAAAAAAGCTAATTAACTTCCTCCTCCTCAGAAGCAGTACAGTGGCATCTTGTTGCAAATGTACCAACACAGGCTTATTAGAAAAGTGAATAAACAGATAAGAATTTTCTCTTCCCAAAAGAAGATTCAAATTTGAGATTTCCACACATTTCAGTAATTTCCCACATATCCTATACAGCATAGTTATTCAATGTTAAGTATCAAATACTGCTTCAGTTTTAAAACTTGGGGCAATGATGTATTGAAAATTTCCTACCTATTTCGGTTCTGCCAACTCCAATTCCATTATAAATTCTCAAGTAATTAAAGTGACAAGAATCAGAATCTTCAATGTCAAAGTCACCAAATTTGATGCGCACTCGCTCTCCCATCTTTACACGGATCTCCCATTCGCAAACAGTGCTGTTAGGATAGGTCTGTGGGTAATTTATGGACGTCAGGGTTCCACTTTCAGGGCCTAGTACAGTATGTCCACATCCATCACCTTTAAAAAAAAAAAAGTTAAAAGCACGATAAATTATTCTTTACATCTTTAACTTACACTACAAATAATCAGGATTTTTTGTGAAGATTTTAAAATATGTATGACATCAGATATTTTGTACCACCAATACCTTCCTTACACAAGATAAAACAGATAACATAGTTCTTAGTAGGTCTACTCACAGGAGCCAGGAGAAGCCAGATTAGGTTAAAATAATCAATGATTACCCGTATCATTTATGAGTTCAAAGAACTTTCCAATCAAAATAAATAGAAGTAAACATAACTTAGCAATAATTATATATATATATGTCATAATAAATCCAGTCTTTAAAAGAGTATCAATTCATAGTAATTGTTCAAAATAAATGTCAACTATAAAAATAAATGTATATGATCAGCTTCATCTATTTAGTTACAAATAGCACAAACCCCTTCAAAAATCCCTGTGAGAAGTCAAATGATCTCTGAAAACACTTAAACTATACTAAAGATTATGCAGATTTCTGACCATATTACACGATGCAAGGCATTCCTTCTTGAAGGCATTAAAGCAATATTTCATAGTTTAATTTTACGTTCTACTGAAATTTGACTTTTCAGTAGTCCCTCCCCAAAAGCCTCATTTTCCCCTATAGAATGACGACAAAAAACTAGTTTATTAGACTTATTAAAGATTAGTAAAATGACCTTCATATCTTGATAGCAGCACTATTTGCTCCAGAAATTTCTTCAGCAACTGAATATGGAAACAGTTAACACAATGTTTGTAAAAATCAAATATCTGCATTCTTCCCTTTATCATAAAATTTGTTATTTTACTGAGCACCTGGAAGGAGGCGTTAATACTGATTAAGAAGTTTTAGCTGCTGCTCCAATTGTACCGCTTAGCGTTCCTAACAATGGGATTCAAATGGATGTCTTTTTAATAGGAAAATGAATACATCCTTTCAAAATAATAGTATTTTCTCTTTCAAAAGAGCTATTTATAATCACCTTTTGGAAGAGTTCAGAACTTAAAACAAAGAAAACTATATTAGAAGTGACACTTCTGAGTTTTAACCTCAATATGGATACACATGGGTGTAACAATTTTATACTGATTTTTTATTTTTAAGAACAATGTAGTGCTGATATCATTTACTAGAACAGATGAAAGCTTTAAAAGCCTATGAATAAGAATATAGTATCTACAAGTAGTAGTTGCAAAATAAATGTTTATTAATTGAATGAATAAGGAAACTGTACATTAACCTATGAAAAAGTTATCTCAAACTCGTCTCCAAACTAGCTTTAAGGAAGGAACAACTCTGTACCTAGATTCTGATGACAATACTTCATATCATTTGCTGATAAAGAAATTTTATTGCCAAATCCACACTAATACTGTTACTTAGTCTGCTTTCACAGGTCAACCAGCAATCTGGCTTCTTAAACAAATCTCTCTCACATAAAGCTTAGCTTTTAACCAACATTAAACTTCAGCTATCTTCTACACTTGCCTTCACTCCACACACAAGAACTAGGCATAGCAGTTCAATAACATCATAATACATAAAGCCACCATTAAATAAACCTGTGAGTTTTTGTGTGACATAGCCACTGATCTTTTGCAAATATAAAACTTAGAATGTTATACAACTCAGAGGAAAAGAAAAATAACCACAAATTTCCCCTGAAACTACCATGAAAATACCTTGAATATCTCTATTGGACATTATCTAAATTAAAAACATAAGGATATAAAAACCTCCCTTGTGAAAATAAATGAATTGTAATATAAAAAACTTTTGAATAATCATTAACATTTTTCCTTAGAGAAAAAGACAACCATCCTAAGACAGATCTTCTAAAAATATGAAACTAGTCAAAAATGTTCTGTTACTACTGAAAAGATGAAAACGAGCTTCCTGGAAGTGTTTCAATCTTTAAAAAGTAGCCCTGAATAAATGAAGTAACTCAAACTATAAATGTATTTTCTTTAGTAAGTATGAAACTAAGGCAGCTTCTTAAGTGATTAGAAGTGTTGATGGATTTCAGAAAGCCAAGAATATTGCTATTAACAGCTGAAGTCAGGACTTAGTAATGGCAGATTGTCGCATTTAATGTATTCCCCACAGGCTATTATTTAACTTAAAGTTGTCATGTTAAAATGAATTTTACAAAAAGACTACAAGCAGAGTGTTAGGAGCAATTCTTAAATATCTTTATGCTCATATTTATGTTTGATTCTCAATAAATGCACAAAATGTTTTCTGCCATTTCCTCCATACAGCACAGTTCCTACAAAAGTTAACAAAATAAATACTAACTGATGAAAAACAGGACTTTTGCATGCATGGTGATGAAGAAAACAATTAAAATGGAGCTGTCTTTTTTCAGCAACTTGTGTAGGGGGAGGGCATGAACAGTCCACAAGTAACGTGCCAAGAATGTTCTAAAATATGTGATGGAGTTCAGAGCTTCCTCCTCTCGCAAACAAGACGATACACACCAGAAACTAAAGTTAGAAGAAAGTCTCAAATCTACTGCAATGCACAAATTCGAATGTTCCATATTTCCAAGACTATTTGATAAGTGTAACCTGACTAGATAAATAGCTTAAGCTGGCCTGGCCAAATACCTACTGCTATGAAGTATACGTTTCGAATATTACAGTTGGAAAGGGACACTAGGCCAGCAGTTTTCAAATGTTTTTCTCTGTTATTCCAAAGTAAGAAATGTATTTTACACCTTGACTCAATAGTGTCTTAAATATATCTTCCTGACCCACTAAAGGGTCCCCACCTGTGCAATGAACAACACTGTACTAGGCATCCAAAGGTGACAATGTTGAATTCTCAAATCAGAAAAAGATCTTGTCCTCACTTTTACCCCCAAATTAGAACATGTGCTTCCAGTTTATTTTTACAGTTCTTTTTTTTTTTTTTTTTTTTTTTTTTTGCGATACGTGGGCCTCTCACTGTTGTGGCCTCTCCCGTTGCGGAGCACAGGCTCCGGACGCGCAGGCCCAGCGGCCATGGCTCACGGGCCCAGCCGCTCCGCGGCACGTGGGATCCTCCCGGACCGGGGCACGAACCCGCGTCCCCTGCATCGGCAGGCGGACTCTCAACCCCTGCGCCACCGGGGAAGCCCTATTTTTACAGTTCTTAAAAGCGAAGCCTATTCTACACCAAAATACTTAAAATAGGACAAAATATTTAAAAGTAACACTAAAATCTAGAAAATATTATCAACAAATCACCTAATACACTGAGAGCAGGGTTTCTCAAATGTGGGTGGAGGACACTGGAACAATTCTGGGGTGGAGGGTGCCACAGGCATCTAGTGGGTAGAGGCCAGGAATGCTACTAAAGTATCTCACAATGCACACGACAGCTCCCCAGAGTAAAGGGTGATGGATCCTGAAAGTCAAATAGTGTGGAGGTTGAGACGGGCTGACGTAGAGCAAAGGCTAGGACATCTCCAACAGAAGATCTGGGTTAGTTCTTTTTCCTTTGGCTCAAAGGGTAATGCTGTTCTACTTGCTGAGGGTACAACCCAGGGAACAGTTTTCCCCACAAGGTCAAAGAAGTAAACAGAATGCTTTATTTTTCTTTAAGTTAAAGGAAAAAAAAGGTCCTTCTTATTAGTCTACAGCCCTCAAGTATTTTTCTTGGTCAGGGGCCCTCATTTAACATTGGGGTTTGAAAAAGGATGGTAATAGGGTCAGGAAGTAAGTCTCCAGATTTTCTGCTAAGCTTTGTAACTGGAAAGAATAATAATCTGTGACCAGGCTAATACCACCGACTATTACTCATTTTTACAAGGCAGAATTGACAAAGAGAGTGTAACCACTACTGGAAAAATAATTTTCAAAATGGGTATTGTAGGACCAATCCATACACTCACTCTCACCAACAACACCACATCGACAACTCTTTCTCCTTCTCCAACTCCATCATCACCACCATCACTGTCAGCTTCTTCTTCTCCCCCACCCCCGCCCCCCGCCGCCACCGCAGATGGTCTCCACCAGACTGTAACTGACCATAAGGGGTAGAAGCTTGTAAATGTAATTTTTGAATTTTAATTTTATTTCAGTGGAGAAAAAACACTGGAATTTGATCTCACTGCCCCGTTGTTTGGCTGCAGATTTATCTAGGGGATTACTCATAGAACATGTGTTTGCTTCCTCTGAAGACTGTCAGGTCAGATGTGTTAAGCCAGATACAAATTTTGATACTGTTCCAGGAAAATAGCTGAGTAATTTTTTTAAACTACTTTTCCCTAGAGAAAACACAAAGAACATTAATTTAAATAATAATGAATTAATACAACAAAGAACACATGTTTACTTTAGGTTGCTTTCTAAACTTCAAACCAAGTATGTTTTTTGGATAAATATGTGCTCATGATGCTGATTTTATGCGACTCTCCAGCTAACCCCATATTTTAGTCACATTACTATTAAAAATAATATGTTATCTTAATTATTTAATTTTATTAACATGAACACTGTATGACTTCTAAAAATACTTTCTTTAACAAGAACAAAGACAAAAGCAGGAAGCTTGCACAAATATTCCAAAAATGTAGAGCAATGTAACTTTCATTACAATTCTTAGAAACTAGGAAAGGTTTATACTTTTCCAATAAGCTTTCAAGGATTTTCGTCACTGTGAACAGGTGAGTTTGACTATATACTTCCTCTAAATAAGTGTCATTCTGTCACATCTTGTAACACATCTGTGCGATCTTATAATAAACTGAAAAAAAAGGCATTTAGAGAGTAGAAAAGTGTTCAAAAGAATAACTTGCAAGCGTTAACAAGGATATCCTATTTCATTTGACTACAATGAAGATTTTTAATCTCTTATTTAGCACTGCGAATTTTTAGACTAAAAAGTACTACACCAGTCCTGTTACTTTAAGATTTTAAAGTTGCATCACAACAATCTCGAAAAGATAATTCAAGGTCCTATTTTAATTCACTCATTTTTTTTAAATACTGCCTAAGAT